CATTTCTTACAATGCGTAAGAAATGCGTAAATTTGCATAATATTTTTATGTAAGTTTACGATTTTCTTACGTACCATAAAATTTACGAAAGTTTACGCTTATATATTTTTGCTGATGTATGAGAACTGATAATACACAATATCCACAAAAAATTAATATTTGGGCAGAAATAATAAATAACTTTATTATCAGTCCATTTTTTTATTGAAAGAAATTTAAATGGACCTAAGTATTTGGAAATGTTGCAGAATTTTATTATTCCAGAGTTGAATAATTTGTTTTCTGAAACTAAAATTATTTTCTAACAAGATGGAGCACCTGCTCATTTTAACAAGGATGTTCGTAAATATCTTGATAAAAAATTTCCAAATAGGTAGATAGGTCGAGGAGGACCTTATAAGTGGCCTCTTTGTTTATCTAACCTTACACTGCTTGATTTTTTTTTGTAGAGATACCTTAAAACTGAAGTTTTCAAAATGCCTCCTAATAATATCAAAGAATTGAAGCAACGAATTATTAATAAATGTGAAAATATTATCTCAGAACAATTAGCAAATGTTAAATATACATTTTTTAATCATCTTAAATACTGTATAGTCAATATTTTGAACAATTAATTTAATGTATATCAGGTTAACAATAATTTGCGTACTATTTTTAAAATTAATGCTCATTACATATATATTGTATTGTATATACTTTAAAATTAAATGGAGATAGTAAAAAAGATCACTGTCCAGTTACTTTTTATCAACCCAGTATATAAAATAACGCTCATATGTATTATTTTGAATAATGGCCTGAATTAGACCAAAAAAATACAGTAATTATTTTTTTTAAAATTTTATTATAGCTTAATAAGTGAAGGGAGGTAATTTAAAAATTTATACAGTATAAAAGTTTATATACAAATTATCAATTGGAAATTATAATTCTTTATACCATTCGATCCAGACGAATTAAATTATTGTTGCTTTGTCAATCTATTGATTCACCACTTTACCCTTCCGACAATTGAAGTTACTTCGCACTAATAAAAGTTGCGCAAACTTGCTTTTTTTCGCTTTATAATTTAAATAAGCAAAGAATTATATTACAGTATATTGGAGTAAAATTTAAAATTAGACCATACAAATTTAATTACTTGGTTTTCATAATATGAAACTTTTAAATAGACCCAGCTGGCCGGCTTTTTTAAATTTCATACATAAAATTTGAATAAATGTATGTATCACACTCTGCGATGTGCTTATATATTACATGTATATATAATTACTGTATTTATTTTTTAGGCACAACATAAATAAATAAACCACTTTATTAGTTAGAATTAGGGTTAAGAGTTAGGGTATATAAAAAGAGAGCTATAAACAATGATCACTTGATTTATATTTTTTTGTAACTTCATGAACTTACGAAATTTTATAAAGATTTAAATTGATTAATAATTTTTTTTTTAAATAAATCAATAGCAGGATGCAAACTTGCAAAGC